TATATATATATATATATATATATATTTATGTATATATATTTATGTGATAAATATATATTTGTGTATATATATGTGAGTGATAAATATTTGTGATAAAATACTAGATTATTAAGAATTTAGTGTATCAAATTTACATATAAATAATTTATTTTTATTATTTTATGTAGTGTTACAAGGTAAAAATAATATAATTATAATTTAAAATTTTATAAAATTAATTACTCGGTTCAACAATTGACTAGTGACCCAGCGGTTGGACCGGTGACCCTAAGTTCAGCCCGAGTCGATTACCGGTCTGGGTTTAAAAACTATGCATATGGTCCCAACTTGGTAATGTTTATCATTTTTTGTTTTTTCAATGGTAACAAAACTTTATAATTTCGGTCTTTTTATCTTTGTATTACAAAAGGTACATGTGAAAATGATATTCTTTAAAGGTTTCGGCTTTTCTAAGAATATATTCTTGTAATCTTTATTCTCAAAGAACAGTTGTCCTAACTGCCATACATTTGACTCCCAATCCCTTAACATTGTCATCATCTGCTTTCGCCGTCTACTGATGTAGGTAGGCAACAAAACATCTACCCTTTGCGATCTTTCACACAGGGTCGTACTTGCACTATGCGCTTGCCTTATGAAATTGTGATTCTTCACATTTGTAACTGCACCAACTGTCATGACAATATTGACTTGACTTGGGCAAACAAGGATTTCACATTCTTGGTTCAGTAGAGGTTCTTGGAGTAAAACCCCTTCCATCGCCTGCTCCTCAACCCGTGACTGAATGAGTTTCATTGGTGGAATCCGTTACGAATTATCGTTTGACATTCCTCCAAACTAATGGTTGCACCTCACAAGTAAACACAAATCCGAATATAGATTTTACTTATTGTTCACATCTGATTAGAAATAAGAATCCTTTGTAATCCATAGACTACATATGGTTCATTTGGTAACCCAACATATTATCTTTAGTCCAGTTACAGTATACTTGACAATATTTTTCACCACAAACCAATATGCCAGTCCATGATTACTTCGATATCTACTAATTATGCCAACGACAATAATAGACAACTTGCCTCATTTCCTCCATTTCGTACACTAAGCTTTCTATTGGTGAGAAAATTTATCTCGTTATAAAGAAGAACTCCATCACGGGAAGGTTCATAACCTTCTTGGAGTTATGCATGCTACGAATGAGCCTTGTGAGAATTCCTAGACACAAAGTTCAGGATAAGCGCAACATTTCTATATTGTGACCCTTGACCTCAAGAACATGTGCTGAGTCTCTCCCGAGTTCTTTACATCTAACTGCTTGGATAACCATACCCTTGCGTCTGATAGCATCTTCATATTGTATTCAGTAATAAGAATACCATATACGCACAGTACAAAAAGGTACCACCTCGCTTCTGTTGTGATTCACACATGAGTGCTCATTGGTGAATGATCAAATCCATAAATTGGACTCTGTTATTTATGATATTAAAACTTAGTTGAGCTATTTAAGAAAGGTAAGAATGAACATGCTATGCTTATATTAAAACAAACGGGACGTTACAATGAGTAGTATTGGTATAATGTGAAAATTGATGTGAGAGGATAATATTTCGTGAATAGTCTTTAAAGTTTGATAGTAGGTTTATGGTTGAACAAGAATTATTCTTTATATTGGGTTTGAGAATGAATTTTTTATTTGTTGAACTGATACGTGAGAAATCTTGTGTTATTTTGTGATTTAATTTAAATATTTGAGTATTGGATTTTAGTGTATTTACAAGTTTTCTCACGTATTTTATTTTATGAACGGACATACACCAATATTCGATTTTGTGTTTATTTTGCAGTTTTGATGTCTATTAATGATGTGGCATGAATGAGATGGCAATTAAGTAGGCAGTGATGTGGAATTTATTTTATTTGCCTAAGGATTTTAAAGAAAGAAAATAAAAGAAAGTATATGATACTAAGTGAACCGAGAATTGATGATGGGGGCGATTGGAATTTATTTTTGGTTGGACTCTTGGATGGGTTGACTTGGCAAAGGAAGCTTTCAATTGGAGGACTCTCAATTTTGGCCTACGTGAGAAATTAATGAGGATTTGGAGGAATTAATTGGGGAGAAGTTGGGATCAAGTGGGACTCTTAATTACTTGGACTAGAAAAAGAATTTTCATCATCATGCTGGAGTTTTGGGACGTGAGCAGGGAGTTGTACCAACACATCAACACTTATTTGCTGCTTGGAGGAGATTTAGCCGTGGACTAGCTTGAGCAAAAGGAGTTTGATTTATTTATTTTATTTGCATTATTTTATTTGAAAAAGACTATGAATTATTATTATTGCTTTTATTATTTAGCTATGTGTAGCTAAACATTTATTCGGTTCTAGGGACGTTGAACCCTCGATGACTATGTTCGATTAATGCAAATTATTTCGTTTTACTCGTCGTATAAAATTGTTTGTGTTATTCTAGTTTCATGTCATAATGTGTGATTTTTAATTTAGCTTGATCACCTAAGTTAGGAATTGCATGTTAATTGCTAGATTTGAGGCTTCGATCCGTAATTGTCGTCGCTCTTATTTCGTTTGTAGCAACTAACAGTCGTGCATTGTTAGGGGTAACACAACATAAGTTACATGAACCGAGCTTATGTGTTCGTGGCTTAGATCGGTCTATTTTCCTAGATTTTAATGCGGCTAGTGGGTTAAATTAGGAGAGCTTATTCCGAGTTATTCGCTAGTTAGAATTAATTGAAGAGCCTATTTCGATTAAGTATAAATTAAGGGAAAATTCGGGTAGCAGAGCTTATTGCTATCTAGGACCGGTAATTTTAGAAGACGAGTGAAATTTGATAAATGAATTAATTGGGCTAGTTATTCGAGGGTGTAGACCGACCTGGAACCGATTCCATTCTCATATTCACTAAATTATTTATTTATTTTCTATTTCATAATCATCTTTGCATTTTAATCATCCATCTCTAGTATTAGTTTAATTTATCATTTTGCTAGTAGTTTCGTAATAAATCAAATCCCCCCATTTTTATAATCTAATTAATATAATAAATTCACTGTTTATACCACACTCCCTGTGGGATCGACCCTTACTCGCCACTACTACTAGTTAGTAGGGGTAAGTTAGGAAAAATTATAAATCTAAATTTACCGCGTTGCGACGCGCGGTCATGAACAAAAATTCTGTTTGATATTGGCTATAACATAATTTGTATCATTTGAATTTGAGGTAAATATTGGGAAATGAGTGAATAATATATTATTTGAGAAAATTCCAGTGAGATGTAAATAATTTTTATTTGATATTCAGTGGACTTTAGATTTTAAGTTTTACATTTAACTTTTAGGGTTTATTTTTTTTATTTTTTTATTTTAGCTATTTAAGTTCTTCAGATCTATTGCAATTTAATTAAGTTTTTGGCATTTTGTTTGACTGCAATGTGCCTCTGCATTCAGACTCTTTACGGGTGACAAGCAAGTAGTCATAACCAGTTAAAATCAATGAAGTTGAATTCTCGATTAAAATGTGTGAGTGGATGAATAGTGAATTAAAGTTAAATGTATGAGATATGGTTATTTAATTATTTGATAATATTGATTATAGTAGAACTGAGTTAGATTTTGAGTTAATTTGAGAAATAAAAATATTAATCTAATCAAAATTATTTTTGATCATTTTAACTCCTAACCAATCACCCCTTTATATGTCCCCTCCATTTAACTTTAAACGTTCTTTGAAGTTGAATTTTATATTTTTAATTATAAATAATTCAAGCAGACTTCAATAAACAAAATCACTTACGCATTCCTACAACACATTTTCTTTGTGGCTTCATTAGAAAAATGCTTTTGGGAATTACGCCATCGAGTATCCATTTTTTATATGGGGAAATTTAGGAAAAAAAAATTAAAAATTAAAGTATCATTCGAATTTCGAACATGTTAAGAGTTAATACTGAAATTTTCAAATATTTTAGACACTTGAATTATATACGAATAATCAAGTTATAACAAATTATATATGGCTGTATAATAATGGTGTCTTTTATGGCACAAAATTGATTTTAAAGTGATAATTCTAGAATCTTGGTAAAAAAAAATTAAATCTAGTGATATTTCATCTTGTTGGTGATTAT